AATGTAAAGTATTGCACTTGGGCAAAAAAAATGAGAGGCACAAATACAAGATGGGGACACCTGGCTTGAGAGCAGTACATGTGAAAAGGATCTAGGAGTCTTGGTTGACCACAAACTTGACATGAGCAACAGTGTGACGCGGCAGCTAAAAAAGCCAATGCAATTCTGGGCTGCATCAATAGGAGTATAGCATCTAGATCAAGGGAAGTAATAGTGCCACTGTATTCTGCTCTGGTCAGACCTCACCTGGAGTACTGTGTCCAGTCCTGGGCACCACAGTTCAAGAAGGACACTGACAAACTGGAATGTGTCCAGAGGAGGGCAACCAAAATGGTCAAAGGCCTGGAAACGAAGGGAGCTGGGCATGTTTAGCGTGGAGAAGAGGAGGTTAAGGGGTGATATGATAGCCATGTTCAATATATAAAAGGATGTCACATAGAGGAGGGAGAAAGGTTGTTTCTCTGCTGCTCCAGAGGTGCGGACACGGAGCAATGGATCCAAACTACAAGAAAGAAGATTCCACCTAAACATTAGGAAGAACTTCCTGACAGTAAGAGCTGTTCGACAGTGGAATTTGCTGCCAAGGAGTGTGGTGGAGTCTCCTTCTTTGGAGGTCTTTAAGCAGAGGCTTGACAACCATATGTCAGGAGTGCTCTGATGGTGTTTCCTGCTTGGCAGGGGGTTGGACTCGATGGCCCTTGTGGTCTCTTCCAACTCTATGATTCTATGATTCTATGAATTAGAACTGGCAAAAACAAGATCAGATCTACATGTGGCTCAGGTTGAGAAAAGGGCGCAGGCTGTGGTGCAGGAGAAAAAGAAACGGCCTCCCCTCCAGGAGAGGCTGAAGATAATCGATGGATTATAATTGGGGAATTTTTCACACACAAAACTGCATTTGCTTGCATGGATTATTGTTATATATGGATTAATGTCAAAGTGAGGGTGAATCTTTGATCCTTGCGAGCTTTCCCTAGGGCCCAGGGAGAGCAAGCTTGGATTTCAGAGGAACCTAACAATTACTGATTGTGCAATATACCCTATGGCCCTGCTTTTCTACGCAAGACTCATATTTGAAACATCAGCTCGTTAAAACAGACCAGACAAGAAAGGAGGAGGAGTGGCGTTATATGTCAGGGATGTGTATACCTGTGAAGAGATCCAAGATTTAGAACCTCAAAGCCAAAGTGAGAGCATTTGGGTCAAAATTAAGGGAGAGAAGAATAACAGAGACCTCATTGTGGGAGTTTACTATAGATCCCCAAGCCAAACGGAGGACATAGATGATGCCTTCCTGGAACAGATGGCCAAGCATGCAAAAGGAAGGGAGATAGTAGTAATGGGGGACTTCAATTACCCGGATATTTGTTGGATGTCAAACTCAGCCAAGAGCATAAGGTCAAACAGATTCCTCACTGGACTTGCAGACAACTTCATTGTCCAGAAAGTGGGAGAAGCAACAAGAGGAACAGCCATTTTAGATCTGGTCCTAACCAATGTTGATGACCTGGTTAGTGGGGTAGAAGTGGAAGGATCATTAGGCGCGAGTGATCATGCTCTTCTGAAGTTTACTATACAGCGGAAAGGAGCAGCCAAGCATACTAGGACTCAATTTCTTGACTTTAAGAAAGCCGACTTCATAAAACTTAGGGAAGTGCTGGGTGAGATCCCATGGACAGTAATACTAAAAGGAAAGGGAGTTCATGATGGCTGGGAGTTTGTTAAGAGGGAGATAGTAAAAGCACAACTTCAGGCAATACCAATGAGACGGAAACATGGAAGGTGCCTAAAGAAGCCAGGGTGGCTATCTAAAGAACTTTTAACTGAGTTAAGATTAAAAAAGGATGTGTACAAAAAATGGAAAAGGGGGGAAACCACCAAAGAGGAATTCAAACAAATAGCCAGCACATGTAGACACAAAGTCAGAAAAGCTAAAGCACAGAATGAACTCAGGCTTGCTAGAGAGGTTAAAAGCAACAAAAAAGGCTTTTATGGGTATGTCAGGAGTGCTCTGATGATGTTTCCTGCTTGGCAGGGGGTTGGACTCGATGGCCCTTGTGGTCTATTCCAACTCTATGATTCTATGATTTTTGTGCAATACCATTTCCTCATATGCTTGGTATTGTACAACGCCCCCCCCCAGACAATAACTGGCAGAAGATACTTCTTTCCCAACGAGTGTATGGTTCTCTCCTTTTGTAGTGATTAGACTAGACCAAAACCAGGCCTCAGATTTTGTTCTGCCCTACAGCCAAGTAAACTGAGCTTCCATGGGTAGATAGTCTTAAGATCCCCTAGGTCTCCATAACAACAACAATTTTATTATTTGTACCTTGCCCATCTGATAGGGTTGCCCCAGCTACTCTGGCCCTTTGCTTGGTTCCCTGTTCAGCAGGGTTAGAGATAGGAAAGTAGCAGTTAAAGGCAACTCTTTCTGCTAAGTAAGGACACCATCTCCTTTTACATTTAAGAATGACTTACAAAGTGAACTTACTGAAGTCAGCAGTGCCTTCTGCTAGAATTACATGATTTAATACTGCAGCTGGCTACCAGCTGAACAATTCTGGTCTCCTTGCAGAACTTCTGCCAGCTTGGGGCATGCTTGCACGACAGCTAAAAGATGTAGTTCCTGCTTTCTGCAGTATTGGCTAATAGGAATTGTTGTGTGATGATCCATTGCCTCCCTGTACAGTCATGCCTCTTGTTGCGTTTGCTTCAAGTTGCAGCTTTTCAGGTTGCAAGCACAGCAAACCCAGAAGTGTATACTTCCAGGTTTCACCGCACACACAGAAGCGTTCTGCACGCTTCGCACATGCGTGGAAGAGCTCTATCACGCTCCACACTTGCGCAGAAGCACCGATCTAGTTGCGGAGTTTTCGGGGTGCGAATGGCACCCCGGAACGGATCGTGTCCGCAACTAGAGGGACCACTGTACAGTGCTTGAGCTGACTCTGGCTGGGGCTCAACTTAGATTTCTCCAGATGATTTGTATTGATCTAGAGCAGGGATGGGGAACCTGTAGCCCTCCAAATGATGCTGGAATACAGCTTTCACCAGCCTTGGCCATTGGTTATGCTGCCTGGTGCTGATGGGAATCTTCCCTTCTGAGGCATGTGGAATAAAACTAAGACTCAGGAGGTGGATGCTGTCTGGCAGTGTTGCCCCATGGACTGGTTATAAGTAAAAGGTAGACTGTGCTACCACTCAGTGGATTTGTAACTGGCTGACTGACCGAACCCAAAGGGTGCTCATCAATGGTTCCTCTTCATCCTGGAGAAGAGTGACTAGTGGGGTGCCACAGGGTTCTGTCTTGGGCCCGGTCTTATTCAACATCTTTATCAACGACTTGGATGATGGACTCAAGGGCATCCTGATCAAATTTGCAGATGACACCAAACTGGGAGGGGTGGCAAACACCCCAGAGGACAGGATCACACTTCAAAACGACCTTGACAGTTTAGAGAACTGGGCAAAAACAAACAAGATGAATTTTAACAGGGAGAAATGTAAAGTATTGCACTTGGGCAAAAAAAATGAGAGGCACAAATACAAAATGGGGGACACCTGGCTTGAGAGCAGTACATGTGAAAAGGATCTAGGAGTCTTGGTTGACCACAAACTTGACATGAGCCAACAGTGTGACGCGGCAGCTAAAAAAGCCAATGCAATTCTAGGCTGCATCAATAGGAGTATAGCATCTAGATCAAGGGAAGTAATAGTGCCACTGTATTCTGCTCTGGTCAGACCTCACCTGGAGTACTGTGTCCAGTTCTGGGCACCACAATTCAAGAAGGACACTGACAAACTGGAACGTGTCCAGAGGAGGGCAACCAAAATGATCAAAGGCCTGGAAACGATGCCTTATGAGGAACGGCTAAGGGAGCTGGGCATGTTTAGCCTGGAGAAGAGGAGGTTAAGGGGTGATATGATAGCCATGTTCAAATATATAAAGGGATGTCACATAGAGGAGGGAGAAAGGTTGTTTTCTGCTGCTCCAGAGAAGCGGACACGGAGCAATGGATCCAAACTACAAGAAAGAAGATTCCACCTAAACATTAGGAAGAACTTCCTGACAGTAAGAGCTGTTCGACAGTGGAATTTGCTGCCAAGGAGTGTGGTGGAGTCTCCTTCTTTGGAGGTCTTTAAGCAGAGGCTTGACAACCATATGTCAGGAGTGCTCTGATGGTGTTTCCTGCTTGGCAGGGGGTTGGACTCGATGGCCCTTGTGGTCTCTTCCAACTCTATGATTCTATGATTCTATGATTCTATGAAAAGGGCAGGCAGGTGGAGGGCTGGATGAATGCAAACTGGTATTCATTTGGTAGGGCAGTTCCCCATTTGCCCTAGTAGACCTGCCAACACTGCTAATAGCTGAATCAAGCAGTCTTGGCTCCCTAGTTGCCCTGTGAGGATATGAGCCACTACAGATCAGGAACTACACACCTAAGACCTATTTCATATTTTGCACAGTAGCCGATTTCCATGGGTGATTCTCAAGGTAAATGCATGGATTGACCTCCTGAATGTCCAGGAACACCCACTGGAGAGCTCCAATTGGCTGCAGTGGCTAATGGGGCATGAAAATAATAAAAATAAGACAAATTCCATACATATAAATTATTATGTAAACTTTAAAGTCTACAGTTGGGCATGTCCTGTAGAACATCACAAAAACATGACAAATTTTTGCTTTCTCAGGGTTCTTCATCAGAATACAGAGAAAGGAGGGACAGACCTGAGTTCATGAGTGCCCCATCGTGGTAAAACAAAATGAAATGTGTTGAGAGCAATGATGTGGACCTTTGTTGAGCTGGACAGTTTTATGCTGATGCTATTTTTTGAAAAGATTTAAAGATCTTATAAGGAGCAATATTTTCAACAAATATTTTAAGTACTTAAAGAATGTTCAATTGTGTGATAATGGCGAGGGCAGCTCTGTTACTACATTTATGCATTTGAATTGAATGCAAGCACCACCTTTTTCTTTTCTTTTGCAGAATTCAAGCTCCTGCTCAAGTTTCCAAGATCACAAATTTGCCAACATGTTTGACCTGACAGCAGAATATCGGCAGCAACACTTCCTAACAGGGTTACTCTTCACTGAACTGGCAGCTGCCCTGGACACAGAAGCAGAAGGGTAGGTTTTGTTTCTTCTTCTTTTTCCGGGGACCTGACTATGTGAGCAGATTATAGGAGTTGACAGTGCCAAATTTTACGCTGCCCATAATATTCCTTGCGCTGAGTCCTTCTTTCTTACTGTGTCAGGGCTGCACTCTGGGTGATAGTTCCCTAGCAGCTGAAGGGCATAACTACATGTGACCTTGAGTGCAGTACCCTAGTGCAGTGTTTCCCAACCTTGGGCCTCCAGCTGTTTTTGAACTACAATTCCCATCATCCCTGACCACTGGTCTTGCTAGCTAGGGATGATGGGAGTTGTAGTCCAAAAACAGCTGGAGGCTCAAGGTTGGGAAACACTGCCCTAGTGTGAGGGGTGGGGAGTTTAACCATTTGCCCCTCTGACTGCACTCTGAATTTGGATTGTGTCCTCTCTCCAAAGGGGACTGCAATTTACATTGCAAAAAAGTAGCCCATTCAATTAACATACCATGTCAATTAATATCATATGTTATTTTCATCTTTGGTTATCGCTTGAAGCCTGCTTAATCCATACTGTCAACATATGCATCAGTCACAAGCGTTGTTCTCTTGTTTGTGCTGACAGAATAAGCAAAGTGCAAAGGAAAGCTGTCAGTGCCATCCACAGCCTGCTGAGTGCCCACGACTTGGACAAATCCTGCTTGAAACCAGAAGTGAAAGTGAAAGTTGCTGCCCTTTATCTGCCGCTGGTTGGAATAATTTTGGATGCACTTCCACAGTTACATGACTTTACAGGCAAGATAAGTTTGTTGTTGCTGCTGTTGTTAAAGTACCTAACATTTTCAAACTGTTGCACAAAGATTTAATAAAAGGCTTACAAGCTAACAGACTAGGAAGGAATTGTTTGTTTTGGTCAAACTTCAGAAATCATGTATTTTGTTCCCCCCCCATGACATCATGGGGTGTGGGAGGAGCACAGAATGTTGGGAAAGTTCAAGGTGGGGGGATTCAGTTGGTGACAGTTTGGGGAAAAGAAAA